ATCCCAGAGTCCTGGGATCGAGCCCTGCCTCAGGCTCCCGAAGCAGGGAGCCTGCTTCTCCCTCAGTTCTTCCCCCTACTCTGCTCTCTATACTCTTCTTTCTCTCCTACTCCTCTCTCTCTCACACAAATAAACAAATAAAAAAAAAAATCTTAAAAAAAAAATAATAATGTCAAACTACCAGCATCACCCGATAAAGGACTTCTGCCTGAAGGAGAACCGTGACTGGAAGTCAATGGCCAGACCCACATCAGGCTCTATGTGTCTGACGAGAAGGGGAGCAATCCTGGACATTATTTTCAGTCGTGCATAGATGTGTCATTTCTTCAGCAAAAGTCAACTTACATTTCTTGATCTAAAACATTCTAACAGTAAAGAGATTAGGTGGGTGTGAGGTGGGTGGAAGGACAGAGATTCACACACACACAAGGTCTGAGCCTTCATCCTGGCCACAGCGCAGGTGGTGGGTGACCCAGGACCACAAAAGGTATAAGAAACCGTTAGGGAAAAGCCCAAGACAGTGTACTTAGATGTAAATGTAAAACCTTAAATTAGCTGTAAGTTACATCTAATAACTTAATACTTACAGTGTGAACAGTAAGTATTAAAGGGATTAAGAGAATGGGGGAAAAAAATCCTGTGGACTTGAACATCTTCAGAGGACATGGGATGTGAAGTGGCCTCAGAAGGGTAAGAAGATTCTAGAAGGATGGAAGAGAAAAGAAGGTATCGCCAACAAGGAGAACCATGAAGCCAACACAGAGACAGAAGAGAACAGACCCCAAAGCAGGGGGCTGATTCTGAAAAAGGAGCGCAGTCAGCCAGTGAGGGATGCATGAGCCTCACACCCCTGGCCCCCACCCGGCGCAGATAAAACTCAACTTCACAAATATTCTGAGTGCGAGAACTATCCTTCTGCCTTTTTTATTTTTTTATTATTATTTTTTTGAAGATTTTATTTATTTATTTGACAGAGATCACAAGTAGGCAGAGAAGCAGTCAGAGAGAGAGGAGGAAGCGGCTCCCCGCTGAGCAGAGAGCCCGATGTGGGGCTCAATCCCAGGACTCTGGGACCATGACCCGAGCCGAAGGCAGGGGCTTTAACCCACTGAGCCACCCAGGTGCCCCCCCTTCTGCCTTTTTTAAAATCCACAGTGACTCCATGTCTCTCAGGTTATTTTGTCTGTTTATTTTTTTTTTCTATTTTATTTATTTATGTGACATGGGGAGCCTGCACTCAAGCAGGAGGAGCAGCAGACAGAGGGAGAAGTAGGCTCCCAGCTAATGCAAAACCCTATCCCAGGACCCTGGGATCATGACCTAAGCCGAAGGCAGATGCTTACCAACTGCGCCACCCAGGTGCCTGTCTGTTTCTTTTAAACACTCTTCTCCCACCCCTCAGCAAATACACTTGACCAAAAAAATCTTCTGTACATAAGACTCGTGTTCAGAGAACACAGGTGTCCTTGAAAGCTGATCGTTATCAGGGCGCCTAGATGGCACAGTCAGTTAAGCACCCAACCGTGGTTTGGGCTCAGGTTGTGATCTCAGGGTTGTGAGATCGAACCAGGCATCAGGCACCACACTTGCAGGAGTCTGCTTCAGACTCTCATCCCCCTAAAATAAATGAATAAATCTTAAGGAAAAAAAAAAAAACCCTGACCAAGATTAACGTATGTCCTCCTCTAAAACCGTACAATTGTTTCATCACTATCCATACTTAGATTTTAGTCAATTATCACTGCGAATGCATTTGACAGAGCTTTGCACAAAGTTCTATTACTTTAATAGTTAACTAATACTGTTTAACTTGTAAGCATGATCCTGCAAATTAACCCCCAGCATGCATTTTGCTCACAATTTGACCCACTTCCTAACCATCTTGCTGGTTTTTTTCCATATGAAATACTTTTCCCTGATCTAATTCTTCCCTCTGCCTCTAATAACAGACGGAATTCTATTCTGCCTAAAAATAGAGGGACAGAGGGAAGCTGTGACACTTCTAAGACATTTTGCTCATTCAACTAAGTAGACAGTTATTAAAATCACCAAGACAATCTAACAAGAAAGCACGGTGTAAATGGCATTACCTAGAACATAGGAATCTCCAGGAAAACACATAACAGCCTCCAAATTTAAATGGAGTCCATCATAATTGCTGTGATGGGGATCAAAGCTGAAATTCAAGCTCCTCAATCTTTGGGAAAAACTTCCCGGAAACAGAAAATAACTTCCTTATTCAATCTTGGCCAGCAAAATGTCAGCGAGTTCTTTGCCTTTCCTAGAAAATTTATGCCTGGTATCTCCACGGAAATCGTTACAAGCAAAAGGGACAAAGGAGTTTTTCTCAGAGTTTCAATCATCTGGTTCTACAACTGCTTAAACACCCAGGTTCCTTGTCCCTGGGGTAAAAGATGATACTAAATTAACTCTATCTTGTTTCTTTGATTTGTTTGCATCGTGAGTAATTTTATCTCGGGCTGCAAACACAACTTTGCATTCTAGGTTGCGAACACTGGGATAACTTTATTACTCATACCAAGAAGAATACATATACTTCATGCTCAGAGAAACTTGAGATAACCTTTAGTTTCCTCGGAGCACACTACAGGAAACATGTGTCAACATGAAGCCTAATTTATAATCATCTGATTTAACTTCTCATGCTGATAAACTTATTGCCAAAATCACAGGCAAAGAAATCATTCTGAGGCTTCCATTTATGTTTTAGGTGAGTAGTCTACTATGCAACGACGTTTTCAGAAACATCCTATTTTGAGGCATGATCTGAAACCACTTATCAGTGGAAGGTACTTGGGCAGCAGAATCACACTCAGGGCCAATGCCACTTCCACAGCATTCCTTATTTTTCAGGAAGGAATTAAAGAGTAATCATTTTCTTCAAATGTACCTCTTAGAAGTTTAAAAAAAAAGTGAACATTTGTGAGAATTCCCAGCTTTGTTGTAAACTGGTAGAAATTTGGTGGGGAAAAAAAACTTCAAAGAATATAACTTAACAATTGTTATCAACATGGAAATTTCTAAAGACAATGCAGTAGGCACAGAAATGTATGTGGTAGGTTATATTTAAGGCAGTGGGATTAAAAGAAAGTGGTGGGGGAATGCTGCTTTTTTTTTTTTTCCCAAGAGGAATACAAAACTTTAATGTAGTACAATTGTCCTCAAACAAAAACATGGAAAGCCACCTGGTTCATTTTATGGAACTAGCGTAACTCAGATAATTCAAAGGAGATTGGGAACCATTTGAGGTCAAGACCCAAAGTAGAAACTACTTAGGAATAACAAAATAGTGCTGGAGGAGTGGGGATGGAAGTATGGGACAGGGAGAAATTCTTAAGAATTCAAGATACTATCTAAAGATAGTATCTTTGATAGAATTCCTTTTTTTTTTTTTTTAGGGGTTTTTTTTTTTTTGACATTTTACAACACTTTAACTTTATTTTTTATAAACATATAATATATTTTTATTCCCAGGGGTACAGGTATGTGAATCGCCAGGTTTACACACTTCACAGCACTCATCATGGGGGGAATGCTTTTAACATCAGGTATTTCTTTTTTTTTTTTTTTTTAAAGATTTTATTTATTTATTTGGCAGACAGAGATCACAAGTAGGCAGAGAGGCAGGCAGAGAGAGAGAGAGGGAGAAGCAGGCTTCCTGATGAGCAGAGAGCCCAATGCGGGGCTCGATCCCAGGACCCTGGGATCATGACCTGAGCCGAAGGCAGAGGCTTTAACCCACTGAGCCACCCAGGCGCCCAACATCAGGTATTTCAACAGCATCTATTCTGTTTTGTTTTACAAGTAGGTAGTGCTTTTTATTTTACTTTTTAATTTACTTTCATTTTTAAGTAGGTTCCACAGCCAGTGTGGAGCCCAAACCAGGGCTTGAACTCATGACCCTGAGATCAGGACCTGAGCTAGATCAACAGTTGGAGGCTCAACCGACTGCACTACCCTGGTGCTCCCGTAGCACTTTTCAAATTATCCCACAAAGAATGAAGCTTTAAGAAAAAAAAAAAAAAAAAAAGAGAGAGACAGCTCAATTCATAGAAAACAGGGCATTGGATGATAACAGCACCAGGTAAAGAAGCTTCGAGGCAGACAAGAAGCACACAATGAGGCAGGTCCCAGAGAGCAAGGAGAGTAACCCGAACCTGCACACAGCCCGCAGTGACCACAGGCGGCCAGGTCTCTAACACCACTGGGGTCCCACTATCACTCCTCACTGCCCTCACAGCTCTTTGTGGGTGGCTCGGCCATAGGCTCTCGCGACCTGAGACCGGAAGCAACAATCTTCAGAGCAGCTCCCAGCAGGAGGCGGGCCAAGCGGTCTGCTGGCAGCCCCCACCCCGAGATCCAAGGAACAGCATGTGTCGCTCACCAGAGAGGCAGACGTCAGAACGTTCCTGGTTACCCCAAGCCCTTCCCTGGGAGCCCACACGCGGTTCAGGGGTTCTCTCGTGGTGGCTTCCCAAAATGTGACCCTGAAAGGACACACGACAAATTCCTCCAGTGCTCCCCAGCAAATGCTCTCCTTAGCACCGAGGCACCGGCAGAAACCGTAAATCTCTCTTCAAATGAAGCTCGTAAGACACAGAAGGTGCTTGTGTCCATTAAATCCACCCAGAGTATAGCACTTTTATTAAAAGTATAACACACACAAAAAATACTTATGTCCTACGTGTAATACATGCATGTGTGTATGTATGCATAGGCATGCATATGCCTATATGCATATATAAACATATATAACACATATTCATACCTGTATGTATTTACATGCAAAAATAATACCATTTTTAAAAATCAACCCATAAAGGAATGCATGGAAAAATGCAACGATATAACTTCTCTCTCTTAGATAACATCTTCATCTTTTAAAAATCCTAAAATTAAATAATCAAATAATAAATCAGTAGATTAAAAACAATTATTTGTAAAGACCAACCACATGGCTCTATTTGAAAGTTAACTACCTGAAAGTCATCATAAGGGAAGAGCAGCATCTCCCTTAAACAATCATTCAGGATCTGTGTCTTCTTCTGGACGATGACATTTTCATAGTCGAGTGGTTCAATCAGCTTTGGCTTCGCCTAAAAGGTAAAAAAAAAAGTAACTGAAACACTCTTATAGATAAATGATTAAAGAACTTTGTACTATTTTTGCATTTTCCAACTTTTCTTCAGTGACATTATGTCAATTTTACTATAAGGAGAATCAGAAACAAGACAGAAAAGTTATTTTCAAAGGAACAGAAGACGCTTCCTGGTACTCTGTCTACGATTCTGCTTTTTTAGTTACAAAAGCGCAAAGGAGGCTACAAAGTCTGGCAGAATGTCCAGTCGTGTCCTGGGTCACCCCTGGCTAGGTCAGTCCCCATCTAAGCCTCGGGCTCTTCCAGAACTGCCCTGTGTAGACGTTCAACTGTGGGCTGGTGGTGAGGGCTGGATGCCAACAGTGGCACCCTTCCTGGCCCAGGATTAAAGCATCCACAGGGCTCACTATTTCATATAAGACTCCACAGAACTCTTCTCAGAGTATCAAAATATCTCCCTGTCTCCTGAAATGTCTACATACTCATTATATAATACTGAAACACACAAAAACGTGAGCTATGAGGAGTGAGAGAATGGTTATCACCTAAACCAGGGCTTGTGCGTGAACCTCAGCAGGTAGGAACGACCGTCCCTACCACGCACTGAGCAGAAGTAAGAGGCAACAAGCTAAGCGGGAAAAGAAATGAGAGAATATGCTTTGACTATTTCCAAAGTTAGCCTTCTCAGTAAAAATCTCTTTCTCAGTAAAAATCTCCTCTATCTATTGCCAGGTATTGCCATGGTGTTTACTAATCACTACCCACACGGAAGGCACTACGTGGGCTAGGTCAAGGAGAAAGACACCTATATCGCAGTATGCCAAGTAATAACAGGCACGCATGCACGTGAGTGTCACGCGCGTGTGCGCGCGCGCACACACACACACACACGTTCTCAGAGGTAGCTAAGTCCATAATATCAATAGTTCCTACAAAATTATTTTTGAAACTATTAACAAAAATCATCTGATTACATAATCTCAACATTTTATGTCTATTCAAATGACAATACAAATGAAACATATTAAAGACATCCGGTTCGTCACATCACATTGGGAATTGTGGCTGAGGCTGCTACGTGTTCCCCAAACCTCTCCTCTCCTTCTAGGTACAGCGGGACCACCTCTCCCAGCCTCCCCGGGGTTAGGCGTGGCCCTGTGTCTTGAGGTCAATGGCAGGTGAGGGGAAGGAGTATGGCCACTGCCAAGCCTGGACCGTAAAAGTTCTCTGCCAAAGACTGAATGATGTATTCCTTCCAAAATTCGCATGCTGAAACCTAATCCCCAGTGTGATGGTTTTAGGAAGTGGGGGCTTTGGGAGGCAATTAAGTCATGAAGGTAGAGGCTTTATGAATTGATTAGTAATCTTATAAAACAGACCCCTGGGAACTCCCTTCTGCCGTGTGAGGACACTGTGAGGAGAAAGCCATCTAAGAACCAGGAAGTGGGCTCTCTCTAGACCCCAAGTTGGCTGGTGCCTTGATCTTGCCTTCCCAGCCTCTAGAACTGTGAGAAATAAATATGTTGTTTAATCACCCCCCCACCACTTGCTTATATTCTGTGCCAGCTGCCCTGAGTGACTGATATAGCCACCCTCCCTTCTCCCCTCTGCCAGCATCATGTAGAGGACTCAGGAGGCCTGAGGAGAGGGTAAAGCCCCAAGAGAGAAGGAATCTGGACCCTGAACCACCGAACAGAAGGCTGCTTCCTGAAAACAGGTGCCAAAATTACCGTGAGCAGGAGCAAAAGCACCTACCATGTTAACCACTGAGATTCTGGAGTTGTTTAAAGCGGTTGTCGGCTTACTCCAGCTAACATACATACAAATGCCTATTTTAACTTCGATTGCCTGATTTAAAAGTAGACTCTACAAAGATGTTTGGACATGCTAAGAAAAGAAATGCAATGACCAAACAAGGGCACTGTTATAATTTAGCAAAATATACATTTACGGACAGAAATAAAAATATACACAAAAAATTAAAGCTATCCTAATAGGAGTGTAATTTCTTCCTACAAGATATTCATAATGTTGAACTGTTTCTACATTCAGAAGATGTTCAAAAAAGAGACAGACTGACACAAAGTGTTTTTAAAGAAAGAATTGCCACAGAAACCAATAAAAATACTCTCCAAAATACTTTAATTTGACTTAAATAATGTGCTCTTTACTTTAGTTTGTTACATTGCATGCAGTAATCAGTTCTTAAGTGTTTGTTGGCAGAATGGATCGATGTCATGATTAGCAACACTGTCTCTGGGAACCAGGACTATATTCCTAAGAAAACCCAAAGATGCTCATAGCTTTACACACTGACAGAGTTCTAGATAGCGACAGCTACACTTACATTAGAGAGAGGTCAGAGAGAGAGATCCAGCAGGATGAGATGGACACTGCATTCTCCCCTATTCCATACGCTGTCCAGCACATGACGGTGACTAGGTAAGCTCCAAGGGGGTGACCTGGTCCTCTACACCAGCCCTGGGCACCTCCAAAGCTATGCCTGGGTGTGTTCCCTTCCTATACCTTCCAACAAGGCCACCAGTGCAGTCCTTCAGGCCACAAGGCAAGGTCAGTCTACTTGTCAGAAAACAGTACTACAATGTCAGCCTTTGTCAGAAAGGGTGCTGAAGGGACCTCCTGAGAAAGGGTCTTTTCCTAGCCAATGATGTTTGGGAGTTTTTGCCTTGCTCCTACAGCACAGCTCTCTAGGTAGACTATTCTTGTATTCTTAGAGCAGGGATTGGCAAACTTTTTCCTGCAAAGAGCTGAGACTAAGTATCTCAGGCTTTACCAGCTTACTGTTTACTAAACTCTGAGCATAAAGGCAGCCACAGACAATAAATAAGCAAATGGACAGAGTGGTGCTAAAACTTTACAGAAACAGGCAACAGCCAGATTCTGCCCAAGAGTCACCGCTTGCTGATTTATGCTGTAGTTTCCTTCACCCCTTAGTAATTAATCCCCTTTTACCAATTTAATAATTCTTTATATTAATTTTCTATTTCCAATTAACTGATATATTTCCTGTCTCTGGGCTGATACACACAATACATGTACATGTTCTTTTTTTTTTTTTTTTTTTTTTTTTTTTTTTTTTTTTTTTTTTTTTTTTTTAAGATTTTCATTTGTTTATTTGACAGACAAAGATCATGAGTAGGCAGAGGCAGGCAGAGAGGGGGAAGCAGGCTCCCGGCAGAGCAGAGAGCCCGATGAGAGAGAAGCTCGATCCCAGAACCCTGAGATCATGACCTGAGCTGAAGGCAGAGGCTTTAACCCACTGAGCCACCCAGGCACCCCAACGTGTACACGTTCTTAAATATATTTAATGATTCTCTCTCAGCATTTGACTAAACCTAGATTGTTTAAAAGATTTAATAAGTGAAAACTCTAAAAATATTCACAGGTCAGTTCTGCCTGTTTCTGATACGCTTTCGTTAACTGCATGGATTACTGTTTTCCCCTGACTGTATCTTGGAAGTAGCTAATGACTCAATGTAAGGTTTTGGCTGTCAGGATTACCTTGCTTTGGGTGCCTCTGTGTAAGCTGGAAGGCTAAACACAGATGATCACACTTCATCCACTGGAAAATTAATTAAACAAGGAGGCTGCGTCATTGAGGGGGCTCGACTGCCCTGGTGGCATCTATAAGCCAACCAAAATCCAACTGGGGAATGCCTCAAGGTTATAAAATTATTCCTCCCTTTGCTTCTGCTCTTTCTCTCTGTAAGTCTCTCCAAGCTCCTAACTGTTCCTAACAACTTCCGGTTTGATGCCCCCTGATTCGAAATGATTTTTGTTCAAACTCTACCAATGCTTTAATATACCTCAGCTTATCTTTTAACATCACTTAGAGCCAGTATAAGGTAGAGGAATGGAAATGTCATTCCGTGTTACTGAGGTAGATGACAAGTTGAGCAAGTAGCCGGAAGTGTCCCAGGTAACCTACAGACTGGGTCAGAACATGGCCTCTGTCACACAGAACTCCTTCTCCAGGCCACCCTTTAACCGGTCTGTGTGCACCAGCACTCAAGCAGAGTAAACGTGGGGAGGGTTTCTAAGCCAATGTTCTGTTAAGGAATGATGATGCCTGTAAACAGGAAAGCCCACAAGGTTGATTTCAGTATCAGGGAAATCTTCATGGAAGAATGTCATGTCTTGTTTGGTCTCAAGGACTGTGAAGATCTGACACATGGACAGACCCTTAGATCACTCACTGAGCCCTGACGGGGCAGCAGTATTCAGCCGCTGCAGGGAGCGCTTTCCAGGACAGAACCACTGACCCCAAGGAAAAGGGGTCAACTGGGAGTGACTCACTTGTTACCTAAGAACAAGACAAAAAGCTCTTGCTTCAAATACAAATAACAAGTCACCCGCACCATGCCTCACGTGGCCTCAGGAGGAGAAAGGGTGAGAATGGAGACCGGTGAGGGAACAGGAAAAGAGACAAGGTGGAGGTGGGGGAGGAAGAGACCAAAGGGGACAACACTCAGGGTAAGACAGGCAGGAGCCACAGAAGTGGAAGAAACACAAGGGGGAAGATAAAGACTGAAGCGGCAGCTACAAACAAAGGACAGTGGGCCCGTGGGAAGTCATACCTCTGGGCCTACTCAACTGGGGGTTAAGGGCCTAACTGCCCATTTTCTACTCTTCTTTGAAAGGATGATTCAGTGGTTACAGCTGTTCACTGTTCTTCAGCATCACTGAGCTTTTCCAAGTGGTCACATGAGTGGGGAACAGCCCACTAGGGTAGGGAACTGACTGGCTTATAGCATCACTGGTGACAGGAATGACTAACAGCAAAATGAAATTAGCTAATTACCAGACTGCCAGTACCCCCATTTCCTGTCTAGTAGAAAGAGGCTTAGGGTAGATCTGGCTCATGGCCTTGGTTTTTAAAGCCATCAACACAATGAAGTTTAATCCTTCCCAGGGTACACAGGTACAAAAGCCAAGTTCTTGATTTTCTATGGTCAAAAGCAAGATTCTGAGCCCAGA